TATATATATATATATATATATATATGTATATGTATATATACATATATATATTGTTGCGACACGTCCTCCGAGATGCGGAATGAATGACATCGTGCAAAAGACTGACTGACTGACCAACCCGACGCGAAGAAGGTGGTAGCGTAGTGATGATCACTTGTCAGATTCTCTCGGAAACTCTCATTACACGTCGATACATACAGACAGTTGCGTGCGATAGTTGCGTTTCGTTTCACGCGAGCAATTTTTAGTTAGGCTCGGAGGACGTGATTGCTCGTGCACCATAGCAGAACAATCTTTTTTTATAAAAAAAAGTATATATATAGATATATATAATTAGAATATAATAATAATAATTATTACAACATTCTTATTATGGATTACATCTGATTACATCTGCTTTGAAAACGCTCTTTTTAGCTATTTTGATGTATTTTTTTTCTCGTAGTATAACCGGCCATTCTATCAAGAGAGAAAGAGAGAATGTGTGCGCGTGTGTGTGCGTGTGAATGCGAGGGAAATTTGTGCGCATAAGCGTGCGTGGTGTATTAAGCGTTTAGACGAGAGGGAGGAAATCGTCTTGAATCATGTGTTTACCATTCTTTAGGTCGTATTACGAATGCACGTCCACAATCATGTGACATGCTTCGGGTATATCTCTCCTGCAGTCTTTTTCACGAGAAAAGAAAAACAATTCGCAGTCGTACGATCGGCAGTGGGTGTGGAGACACCCGCTCGATCTGGAGCACATCGGCAGGGTGAACTTCGCGAACTTATTGTGTAATCGATCATCACTATGCAAAGTAACCGATAAATCTATATACAACACACACGTACATACACGCATATACACACAGACACATACACATAGTGGTCGTATTATTATAACGGTAATTACAATCGATACTTGCGCGTCCGCACGCGGGACGACCGCGAGGGGTCTGCATGGGTCGCGTGCGGATTGATGTTTTTGTGAAATAAGACTAATAAAAGAAACACGTATACACGCAGAAGGCACGATCAGAGACTTCTAATTCCACAGCAATGCGATCGTCTTTTTCATCTTTGTCTTAACGATCTCTCTGCAAGTCGATCGGGAGGAGCGCGTGCATGCGTGCTCGCGCGGAGCCGACGCTCATCTAGTCGCGAAAGAACGCTCGTTCGCAGATCGCCAGATATGATCAGGATAAAGGCGAAATAAAGAAAAACAAAGAGACGAGAGGAGAAGAGGAAAGAACTTTCGTAACAGTGTGTTTGAGACGGTGGCCGGTTAAGCGCTCGCGCACTCGATCGGGTATCGCGAGCGCGGCCACGATTCGTCGTGTACAGGACCATTGAGCTCTATAGTATGCTGGAGTTGAGCCTTCCTTGTGTTAAACTGCAGAAATCTGCGGCCCGTCGGAGAAAAGGACAGATAAAGGATCGGAGGGGAACATCTGTCTCTTTTGTACGTACTACTATCCGAGCAAAAAACATCAGAAACGTAACAAAGGCTTTTCGAAGCTCGACAGTTTGTTTTATTATATTATTATATTGCATTATCGTTTGTATGAAATTATAATATTATATATTGCTTTATTAAAATGTGCAAAGATGTGCCCAGTGTCCTGGCAATGGCATACGTTTGCATCGGTGTGACGAATGTTAATTTGCACGCGGAGACAAATTATTTTGCTGTCCGCAGCAAATTGTTAGCCACTATGGGAACAGCGAAGAGATTCGTTGCACGGAACAAACAATTTTGCTGTTTTAGCAAAACGTTGCGACAGCGATGAAATTTAGTTCGCGTTAACCAAATTACTTTGCTGTTTACACATCCGGCAAAAGCAATGTATACACTTAACAAATTTCTTTTTGCTATCCGAACGAATCTTTTACTGTCCTTATAGTAACTAACAATTCGCTGTGTTAACAAAATATTTTTCTCCGTATGCATACAAGCTCGCATTCTCTAAAGTTTGGTTTTTGAATAACCGATGGGCCACTAATCTCCATATGCCATTCTACGTGTATGTAGAATCAACGTTTTTAGCTATTGTATTACCTACTGTATTAGTATTAGCCAATCAGAAAATCCCCGACAAAGGCAAGAATACACTCAGCATACATATGGTGCATCCTTTTCTACGAATAATTGGGATAATCCCCACTCCTTGATGGCTCTATACCATAGAGCTCAATGTGTAGAACTCGCGGCGATCGCGGTTCTATCGGTCGGAGAGTTTATTATTTCATTGTGAGTGACATCGGGTCAACCGTCGCCGTGATCGCGCGCGCGCGCGCGAAAATCTCGGTCGCGCGTCTTCACATTGTACATCGCGTGGTCTCGCGCTTTTCACGTTTCTTTCTCGCCGAGACAATAATAATGAATTTAAAACGCCGAGCGACCGTTCACGATGAAAGGAGCGGAAGAGGAAGGAAGAATCGCGAGAGAGAGAGAGAGAGAGAGAGAGAGAGATCACACGTCAGAGAGAAAGAGAGAGAGAACACGCAGGTCTCATCATGTGGGTATATCGAGGAAAGCAATGTGCGCGATAAAAGATGGCGGGTCGGAAATCTACCCCGGATGCGAGCGAAACGGCGGATTTGCACGTATGTAGAATCCTCTTCCCCGTCCGAGATGGATCTCCGACGCGAAGTCGCGAAGAGGCGTCGGCATTGTCGCTTGATCGCGGCTTGAGCGCGGCTCGCCGGTGTCGCTGGTGTATATCCTTGGTATCCTTTACACCCAGTGCACAGAACCTCGTAGGTAGATAATTTTCCGGCGGTATATCGGTCCCTTATTAACAGTGTCGCAGAGCTTGTATGCTTAAACAGACCTTTAGCCACTCTGTATCACCTTGTTAAATAAAGCTAGGCGTGTTTAATACAAGTACGAGAAATACAGTATCAAGTGAAAAAAAAAAAAAAGAGAGAGAGAACTTCGGCGTTCCTGTGAGCGAGGTCTCGCGACACATCGGCTTCCTCGGTGGTCTCCGGCAGGCAGGCTCCGGCGAAGTCGCGTCTCTCGACGACGTCTCTCTCGCGTCGGTCGAAACGACGACGCGAAAAGTGCGAGCGGAGAAAACCCGACTCGGTTACGCGCGTTTACTCGACGCGAAAAATTCCGCGTCGCCAGCAGGGTCCCCCGATGTGTCGCGCGACCACCTTCATGGCACCTGAGCGTTTTATTGCTACCTTCTTCGAGATGCGACCTGCGCTCGCGCGAAGTCCGTGGGCAGGCTTGGTTCTCGGAGATTGAGGATTGCGGATCGGAAGTGGGTCAATGGTGGTCGGGGGGNGGGGGGGGGGGGGGGGGGGGGAGCAAGAGGAGCCGAGTTTGAAGTTAATCGAGATTTGAATTCTAATCTCCAATCCGTAATTCTCGATCCCAATACCTAATCTGATACGGGGTTTCGGTGGTCCGACGACGACGACGCGATTCGTCTGTAATTCGTCACACGATTATAACACAGCAGGGAAGGCCGAGCACGTCGAAAGAGACACATGCCATCATGTATACATACACATACACACACGCGGGCGAGAGATACACTCTCTCGTGCGCCGAGATACACTCGTTGTCGCGCGATGCATCTCTATCGGGTCACGATAAAAGTGGAATTCGGGTCAGGTGGGCGCTCTTTGAACGCTCGGCCAAATGAACGCCGAGAAAAACGCGGGTCGCCAAAGCCCGCTCTCTGCGTATGTACGTGTACAGAACGTAAACGTCCCCTCGTTGCACAAAGGCGCGCACGATGTGTACACACGTGTGTAATAAGTATTAAGCGTAATCCAGATTCGGCGAAAGAGAGAGCGAGAGAGAGCGAGAGAGAGAGAGAGAGAGACTGATGCGTTTCCGAAAAAGAGAGAAAAATTGTAGAAAAAGGGAGAGAGAGTGAGAGAGAGAGAGAGAGAGAGAGAGAGAGAGAGAAGATGTATCCATCCACAACCAACTTGACCCAGGCTCCTGCCCGTTTTTGGTAAGCACCATCCGTTCCTTCGTAGTCCTTTTATAATCGACTTATCCTATTTCGACCGTTGGCTGCGAAGTTTTCATTTTTATATACAACATCGTTCTTTAGTTTTCACGTACATATATATATATATATATATATATATATATACACATATACATATATGTATATATTTTTTCCGTTTCTTTTCGATTCGATCGCTGCGCAGTCTCCTGTCTTTTATTGTGTGTGCAATTTTTTTCAATTTTTTTTTCCATATACCAGCCAAGACGTACAACCGAAAAAAAGAACCATTTCTCTCCGAGAGATCCTCTCGGGCTCGCACTCCGGGTGATTCCTGTTTCTCGAGACGGAGACGCGCAATGCGTCACGCGGCAAAATTCCGGCGAGAGCGTTTCAAGTTCGCGCTAACGTAACTACTGTGCCAAGCGTAACCACGTTGCAGACGCATTGTAATAGCTTTGTTTTGCACGTTCGACACTGGTCGAGTGTCTA